TTAGAGGACAAAGTAGGGAGTGTACTTCAAATAATATCTACAGGTATTAACTCTTTGAATAGGACTTTTGTAGCACAGAAAGCAAGACAAATAATTGACAAAAAGGAACTCAAGAAAGCTCAAGGAACACTGTACAGGAAAACATCCTATCAATTGAGGGAAGAATTAGCCTAGATAATGCAAAACAAGCCTTTGTCAGCAATACACATTGACCAGGGATTAGTGTCTAGACTATGAAATGAACTAAAAACTAACCAACAAGAAAGAAAACCATGTAATTAAAAGATATGCTAAAATGTTAATGAACTAAATATTGTTAACTGGAGTTATAACTTGGTAACTGTTTTGTTATATATAATTTTACTGTTAAAGTTAAAACCTTGCTTTTTATTTAGACAGAAAAGAGGAGATGATGAGAGATGCCCTCTTATTGGTTGATTAATAAAACACTGATTGGCCAGTAGCCAGGCAGAACGTATGGGCAAGGAGAAGCCCACATAGAGACTAGGAAGCCATATAGAGACTAGTAAGATAAGATTGCCAGGCATTCTCTGGGAGGATAAAGCCATGTATAAATACATAGATTAGTAGTTATGGGTTAATGATTATGAGAGAGTTAGCCAGTAAGAAGCCCTAGTCATCAACCAACTGTTTATTAATTAATATAAACCTTTGCGTGTTTATTTGAAGTTAATTGGCTGTGGGACCAGGGTGGAAATAAACTCTAGCAACACAGCTGTCTAGGGAACCTCTGAATGCTACAACTTAACCTCTTGCTAGTCTGTCTGTGGTAACTCTACAGGTAGCAGAGACCAATCATACTGGGTTTATATTCTGAATCCTCCCATTAACAAAGGCGTAAGTGGGGAAGATATGGATTTTTCTGTTGTGGTAATGAATCCTCTTGACTTTCTGGCCCTTATGACCACAGAGGATCTGCTAGACCTTAGAAAGAGGATAAGGAAATTACAAACTATACTATGGGAGTGCAAGGAATTCATATTTGTATGGGTAACAGAACTCATTGTCTAAATATAAATTTTCAAAATTGGCTACCTATAATCAATACGATCAAGAAGTTTCATAACAAATTTTATATGTTTCATGCATCTGGTTTTAGAGGACAGGAAAACATCCTTGACTTGAAATAAAATATAAACATCAGCAATAAAAAAAGATAGACTATAGAGCAGAACAGGCTTGTCATAGTTTTTCATGTGGTGTAATATTGGGCAAACTTCTGAACACATGATCTATTAGCTTCAACTATCATATTAATATCTTTGAATTCATTGTGCATAGATGTGAAGTGAAAGAGTATTTATGTGGAGTATGTAACCATGGAAAGAAAAGCTTTCCTTCAGGATTCAGGAACTGCTAAGATCACTAGTGGTTTACATTATTTATCAACATTGAGAATTGATATTGGAAGTTAACCATGATATATGAAGAAAATTACACAGGTAATAAAGTTTCCTTGACAAATCAATGTAGTGGAATTAGTCCTCTAAATATTGAAATAGAGGTTAAAAAATTGGCCCTGCCTCAACTTTGTGTCTCCTACTTTGGTGACTCTCCAAGGGTGGTATCCCCTCTGAAGAGTAAGAAGGACGTGAGATGGGGGAGGTAGGGAGGCAGCAGAAGGGGAAGGAGGGGGTACTAGGTTTGTAATGTAAAAATAATAAAAAGAGAGAGAGGAAAGTCATATAATTGGAAGGTGAGGAGGTGGGGAGTATCTGGGAGTATATGAAGGATGAGGGAACCTGAACAGAATACATTTGTTAAAAAAAATTGTTTTCGTTTAAAAATGAATGCTAAGAAAAAAGAAGTTAAAATAATACAATCTAAAACTTTATACAATAAAAGTCCTGATTTTATTTGTACATAATTACATATTATATATTCTGCAAGAGCTAGGCAGCAGAAAACTGAAATACACCCATGTGAGTTTCTAGAATTCCAAGAGGCATTTGGTGTGATGACCACTAGACTACGAATGTATGAAAAATGTTCCCCTCCATAGACAAGCAGAAGATCCTCAAAGCATGGTAGTTTAATATGGTTCAGAATTTAATCAAATAAAATAGTCACCCAAATGACGGTGGGAAAGGTCTCTGAGCTAAGACATATGCTTTTCTCATCTGTGGTGGCAATATACATTTAGATAAATCCCACACCCATGGTTGGTTTGAATTCTTAGACCATAGTACATGTTGCGTTTCTAAAGTACAAGTACACCCCAGGGTTTCTGGAACATACACAGTGCTTGAAAAGAGCTCTCCAAGTTTGTTTACAACGTGTTTGGACTGATTACTATTTGTTATATGGTGGCAATTTGAGAATTCACTAAGTCTCCCCACTCCAATTATATCACTTAACTTTCAGACACCAATAAAATGTCCCTTGTTTACAGTGTCATGAAAAACATATCACTACAGTCTCCAAGGACTGACAGCACTTTGTCAAGCAAACTTTTATCATGGGTTTTAATTGAATTGTCATTCAGAGATAGACGTTGCATAACTTCATTTTTAAAACATAAAACACAAAGATTTATAGTAAATACAAAAGGGTGCTTTAAGACTAAAAATAAACAACAAGAGGGGATTGTAGTCAAATAAAAAATGTTTGTTCTCAAACAAACAAAAGTATTTTAAGAGGCCAAATGATGTGTGCATAATGTTCTTACTGAAGTCTATTATATGGGGCAATGAATAATGAAAATTAAGTTAATGTAATTATTCATTGTTGCTAATTCCTTTAAAAAACATTTGGATATTTGTTATTTGGGATTGAAAGAAAATATAATTGTGCCAGGAAGAATGCTAATGTCACTTTCCTCTCAGGATATTCCTTATGGATTTTTTGTCTTGTGTCTCTTCCATGAACCTTTTATTAAAATCTTATAGGAAGAACTATTGTTTATATGCATTCATTCGATATCCTGCAGAAAAGGGTTAGAAGAAAAAATCATTTCAATTTACTTCTTTTAGTCATGTTCAGACTGGATAAAACATCCCTAGATTCATTGCAATTGAATATTTTTAGGTTAACTGAATAATCTTTAATCCTGTACATTTAAAAAAATCTTCATCTATGTAGTTATTTTAGTCACAGTCTGTGTATTTTATTTTTAAATAGAAACCAATAGCACATATAATTTTAAATTCCTGTTCCTTTTACCAGTATGGTATGTCAGTATGTGCTATTAGTATATTTGAGACATGTAGCTAAAACACTAGGACTTGAAACACTAGTTCTTTTTGATAAAAAAATCTGTACATACCATCAGGGAAACTATTTTTAACTTTTATTGTTATTGTACTTTTGTGAAATAAGTTTGTCCACTATGTAAAGATCAGAGGGTGGTTTATATATTTTTTAAATAACATGATAGTGGTAATATTAACAGTTTTCATTTATCAATAGACTTGCTTTGCTACAATAATCCTTGTATATAAGTTACACTTAAGGGTTTCTTCAATTGTCTTCTGGATTAATCTGCTTTGTGGCATCGTGCTAACATGGGGAAAATAATACATTCCAAAAGTTACATATCTCTGAAGATTTTCTTTCCTGTATTTTGAATGGATCTCAGTAAGTGGGATATTATTCTACTGTAGACCTAAGAGCTATTCTCAGCTTTAAAGGACACAGTATATACATTTACCCTCAGTTACACAGTTAAAGTGGAGTTTGCTGTCCAGTAAATTCCTTCTCATCTAAAAACAATACTGCAAGGATTTGTCTACCTTTCTCAATTTTAAAGGGAGATTTAGTAAATCCTTTCCATGTCTAAAAAGAGGCATGGTGCAGTGTTTTTCTTTTCTTTTCTTTTTCTTTTTTTATTGCTCAGGTGACTACTTTTTCATTCACTAGCTGTGTGTGGAGACCACAATTTAATAGCTTTGATAGATTATTTCAGTTTGCTTGAGATTTAATTAGAATCCATAGAATAAAAGTTTTTCACTGATGTAACTAATAAAACTTCAAGTAAATGTCAGGTTGGATAAAAGTTTTGTGGTATATCTGACTATTGGGTATGCCAGGGATTTTCTCTCCTTTGCTGGGCAATGGATGCTAGTTGGTTGCTAAGAGCTCAAATAAGGATAGTATCTGGCCGTCTTTACCTGCACTTTCTAGCGTGTTATGAGAACTTGAATCTATTCAGCTGGAATTCCCAGAGCTGGTGCCACTAGATTTTCAAAGTGGAAACTGCATGGCATTTCCAGAGTTGACCTTCAAGTTACACGGTGTCACTTTTACAGCATTACATTGGTTACAGTAACTTATACCACAATACATATAACTGATGAATCTGTCCTGCCTAGGATTCTCTATTCTTCTAAAATGTCTTTATCATTCTATCTTGTCTCATTGGTGAAATTCTCCAATTCATCTCTGCTAGTCTAATTCTCTTCTATCTTCCAAAATCTGCCTTCCTACTATGGGCCTAACGATTTTAGTATCCTAATGTTGAGGTTAAGGCAGAAAAATGCTAGTTTATGTGACAGGTATAGAAACTCACAAGCTTGAAATGTTATTTTAACTCTTCTTGGGTAGCAGAACTAGCAAAACGCACATCCTATAGGATTTTATGGCAACACATAACATGGTATTGCGTCATCATACTTAGCATATGATGATAATTTTCTTATAATACCTGCATAGTATTAAGTTTTGCTTTTGAGTTATAATTTAATTGCATTTCTCCCTTCTGTTTCCTCCCTCCCAACCCTCCCATATGCCCATCCCTTTTCCACTCCATGACCTCCTTTTTACTAATTGTTATTGAATGCATGTGTCTATACGTACAATGTATTCTTAAATATGACCTACTAGGGCTATATAATCTACTACATAGACCAGGAGACAGCTGGATATTAAATATCAATGAAGAGTCCCTCCAATTCTTGAAACCACATAAACAGAATATAGAAAGAATCATGAGATAAAAATAATACATTATTTTAACATTTCTTTCCCATGATCTCTTCTAGAAATGAAAAAAGAAAAATCTGGGAAGAGTTCTTCAGTTCTGAAAGACAAAGGTAATAGAATTCATTTATTATAACAGCACAGTTGCAAGTTAAATTATCTGAACATGTACTTTGTAAATTTGGGGTATTATCTTCATAGTTGTGAAAACCAAAATTACACACAGACTGATTATTATTATTTTTAATAATCTTAGTATTTATAAGGAAGTGAGGGGAGGGAGGCAGGAATAAAGAACAGAAAGAGTTTTCATAACAATGAGAAGTGACATAGAAAAGAAAATGAAAGTATCAGGAAGCGCTTGCCTCTATAGCCTCTATAGCCTGCGTCTCCCTGTTCATGAAATATACTGTTTAAACCATTAAAATCACTTGAGAAAGAAAAAAATGATCATGCTGGGAACAGTCACCAAGGCAGTAATTGGAATTCTGAATTCTCTTATTTTCTAATACTCTCAGACTTATTCTGTTTGCTTTAGTCTTGTCAAATTATTATTGCTGTAGCAAACATGAAATTATTACTTAAGTATCATAATTTTGGTTTCGTGATAATGGACTACTTTTCTGTCCATTAGAATCCTAATCTTATTTCGATTTTTTTCATAAAGTATCTTCCTCAGTTATTGTAGCTTTCTCTCAGCCTTCTCTCTTCAGAATTAATACACTAAAGATTTCAATGCATTAATTAGAGTTTCTATTGTTGGAAAGAGACACTATGACCAATGCAACTCTTATAAAAATAACTACTTATTGGTGGCTTGGTTACAATTTCAGAAGATTAGACCATTATCATTGTGGTGGGAAGCATAGTGACATGCAGGCAGATACGGTAGCTGAGAGTTTTAGACCCTCATCCTCAGGCAGCGATAGAGCCACATTGGGTCTAGCATTGGCTTTTGAAAGTTCAAAGCCCAATCCCAGTGACACATGTTCTCAGACAATGATATACCTACTCCAAGAAGGCCACACTTCTTAATCTATCCAAATACTTCATCAACTTAGGACACTTATTTGGGTAGAGCCTTGCCCTTAGGGAAGTGCTCCATTATTCCATTTATCACTGAGTTTTCCTTTAAACTTTTTGTCTCCTTGAGCATGAGTTTGTCTTCAAAACTGCACTTTGTGGTGCTTTTTATTTTCTTCACAAACAGTACTTTTGCCTTCCTCTTTGCCCACCTTGATTTTTTCATTATATTTTGTATATGAGTGATCATTAACAACTATATGCAGTCAATATTAAGTTGTCTTGAAATATCCTGTGCCAATACCATTAATCCAAAACTCTTCAATTTAGTCTCTTGCAAATTTTTAGAACAATTGTAAAAAGACAGCTACATCCTTTGCCAAAGGCAAAGGCAAAGTGATGTGTGTATAGGATCAGCATTTTTCTCTGTCTCTTTCTTTCCATCCCTCTTTCCTCTTTCCTTCTCCCTGCTTCTCCTTCTACCTTCTCTTCCCCTTACTCTCCCTCACACATATGCATGTGCTTATGCATTTCAGTGAGCATATTTTGTAGGTCACAATCTACAAAGATTGTACTCTACTTGTAATGTAGTTTGGGATACTTTTGTTTTACTTGGCATCTGTGAAATGAGAATGTTTAGCTCATGAATTATTGTTTGCTATTTAGGGAGTTCAAAAGGAAGATTGGCATTTACGTCTAATACCAACTTTTCAGGTAACAAAACTATAAAAAATTTCAGTCTTCATTAAAAGTCATAATCCATGCCAAATATCATATTAGCTTGAAAGGGGGGTTGTAAAAAATCATAGACTTAAGTCAGTATTGACTAGTTTACCTAGTCAACTAAATAGACTCCTGTAATTTATGTTCTTATTAATACACAATTACAAATAAATCTTTAGTGAAACTTCTCCCTCTATTAAAACTTATCCACTCTTTGCAAAATGTCATCATACTCATTAGAAAACTATATATATATAGATAGATATATATATGTGTGTGTGTGCATAATTATAAAAATTTGTGATTTTGCTGTATATGGCTATTGATTAGAATTAGCACAGTGAACATCTGTATTTTTTAAATGGGTCATATTAAAGCAGTAAAATTCCTTTGTAAGATATATCAGATATTGTCTCAGAGAAAAATATTCCCTTTTCTTTTTTCTTAGCATAATTTACCATTCTAAAAATCAAAGAAAAATGTAATATCCCACATAAGATTTGGGACTTTGAAAGTCTCCATGGTGTTTTTCTTCCTGGAGTGTCTTTTTGAAGCCTGCTGTGGAAGTCTGTCTGAAGAAGCATGAAGCAATCTCACTTGCTAAAAGGCCTCCTACTTCACCTCAGAGTATTTCACAACTTATTTCTACTATGAAGAAAAGAGAATTTTAGCATTTATCGGTCTCCCACAGACTCTCCTGCACAGACAGTCCAAACCCATATTGACTCACAGTAAAAGTCTAAGAAAGCAGCACTATTACATAAAATCATTTGAGACCACATTTACAAGAGAATCATAATATGAATCAATTAGGCATTTAGAAAAGAGTTTCATTGGACTTGTGTGCTTATGTAAAGAAAGGTAGAGAACACTTACATAGGAAGATAAGCACACCATGCTGTCTTTTGTTATTGGATGAGTTTTTGGAATGGTGGATTCTGGACTTTAACTTTTTTTCTAACGTCTCAGTACACATATAGGAAAGAGCCCTGCTTATGTGGCCTTGGCGTACAGAAATCAGAAAACTATGGTAGGGATACTGGTTGTTATTTTGTTTTCTTGTACCGTACATAGCTTCTTTCTCCACTAAAACCAGTCATTGTTGAGGCTTCTGTCTCAATTATGATTCATAACCATTTTAATTTCATACCAACATACATATTCACCTCCTCTTAGTACATTCCCAAACCTGGAACTTGAAGATTTCAAACTACCACACTAGGAATATGACCATATCACCTTTTCTCCATTCATAAAAACAATCTTTTTGCTCTTAAAGCACTAACTTACCCCCATCTTTGAAAAAGAAAATGAGTATACCTGGTGTGTTTCTTCATCTGTGACTTTTGATATCAATTTTACACTCTGAAATATAGATGAAAGTGGATCCTACTCATTTGTAGTACTGTTGGTAACAATATGAATAGTGCATTGCCTCCAAAACCATTTTCAAAGTTTTACATATCATATATAGGTCTAGCTAATCCCCAAGGAAACTCCTGATTTGATGGACATGATGATTTCTAAATTTTCTTTTAGTCAACAAAATTATATATATTTTGGGGATACATTATGATTTCTGATATATGTCTACCATGGGGGATATTAGATCAGAATTATTAACAATTTCCTACATTCATAGTAGCACTGAAAATAAGGTTTTTGAAAGTTTTCATTATGAGATGCATCAACATTTATCACAATCACCCTGTGCAATAGAGCAGTGCTGCTAGTATCACCCATCTAACTGAAACTTTCCACCCTCTATTAGCTATCATTTTCCTCACCAGCCACCTCTCCCACAGCATCTGGAAGCCATTATACTCTCTAATTACTGACCCTTGTTGATACTGATTGTATGTGTCAGTGAGATGTGGAGTCTTTATTCCTGTGTCTGGCTTCTTTCACCCATTCTTGGCATACTATTAGCCACCTTAACAGCATATTCCAAGCCGTGAGTAGAGGGTATCTTCATGGACCATGGCTACCATTGTATACTTTGAATTTCAATCCCAAAACCTGAGGTAGAAAGGATGAAGCAACGAGCAGGATAGGTCTCATATGTTTCCCTTTTCTATTGCATAAAAGTTTTTTATTTGCAAAGGATTTACTGAGCTTTAATGTTGCAAAAAATAAAGTAAACGGAAAATTTCATCTACCCTCAGTATGTGAATGCCTTGCTGTGGAGCAATAGTGATGAGCACAGCAACAACAACACTGGATTGAAGTTTATAGAGGGAAGTTTATTTTTGTTTTACTTCAATAATAGGCTATATTTTAGGCCTTTGTTGCTCCATAGATAAAACTGGCTTATGAATAAAATCTTCTCTCAAAAATTAATTTGGTAATCTCCATTTTGTACTACATCTTAAGACTAACATACTGTATTGCATACATAATGCAATGTTTTCACTTGAAGGTTTATTTTTGCTTTAAAAATCAAAAATAAACAAAATTCAAAGAAACAAACTTATTTAGTACTAATTAAATCCTTTGGAGAAATGTTCAGTGCTGAGCTTCTGTGTCTTATTAAATCCCAATAAATATGATGCTATCCTTTCAAATGCTTGCTGTCTTAAATGAACAAACATAGATTGCTCAACAGTACGCTTAGTGCAAATAAAAATTTTCAGGGATTGTAAGATCCTATTACTGAAGATAATACCTACATAACTCATTGAACATGGAGAAGTTGAGATGTTGCCTACACAGAACCTTACTCCCGACTGACTAGTGTTCTTGGTACTAGAAGGTACTCTACACACTAACAAAGAATAAAGATAAACATCAACCTACCTACAAACCCTTGTATCTACAATATTAACCTGCCTGCCAGATACAATAGTGAAATAGTGGTACAAAGGTGGTGGAAATAACCAACCAATATCTGATTGGATTCGAGGTATACTGCATAAGATGGAACCCATTCCTGACCCTGCTGCAGTATCCAAAAATCTGAGACTAGATAGGCCAGGTACCTAGGGGAAATGCAAATACCAATGTCTTGCTAAAGGAATATAGCAATAAAATGACTTCTAATGGCACTCTCCTGTATTTATAGATTAGTGCCTTGGTCAACCATCATCAGAGAAGCTTCCTCTTGTAGTACATGTGAACAAATATAGAGACCCACAGATAGATAACATGCAGAATGACAGAACTTAGGACACTCAATCCTATATGTGATGTATCCATGAAATCCCATGTATTGTATAGTGTTCTTCCTGTATGTTTGCCTTCAAATGAGAAAAGGGTCCCAGAGCTCATTACAGATTGTGGGGAGCTGCCATATCATTGCTGGGAATTGAACTCAAGACCTCTGGAAGAATTGCCAGTGCTCTTACACTGATTTCTAATAGGCAGATATATTTTGATAGGCAGAAGATGAATTGATTGTAAAGAAACTGTCATGGATTCATCTAAATGCTTTTTTATTTTATACAAATTTTAAAAATGTAATTTCAGATCACTTTAGACCACTACATAGAACTCACACCGTTACCCACTAAAGCATCTAGTTGGTCCCATTACTGTTATTGTTTTATTAGGGAAATTATTTATTTGTTCTATTCATGTTCAGTTCACACCTCTTCAAGAATTTGTCTCCTTCTCTTTTACTCCTTCAAATATCTTCCTTCTCTAACCTTATAATTTACAGCTAGGCTAGCCCTTTCTAATACACGGTCAGAAACAACAAGAACAAGGTAAAACAAAATATATAATATTGAAAAAGATGCATTTAAATTTATTATTGTTGTTGTATTGTTATTAAAATTTCATTAAAGACTGGCAACTATCAGTTCCACCTCCCTCACACAGATGTCCACCTGTTCCCCTCCTTACAAATCTCTCTCACACATTCTTGTCTATTCACTTTGCTTTGTGATCCATTAAGATTGAACAGTGCAGTCAGTGTGCATGTGGGATTGGAACTATCCATTAGTACCTTTTGGTCTTACCTCTTATCACTCATTACTAAAAACTTTCACAATTTCCCAGAGTCTACTGGTAACCAGCAGTTTAAAGGGGGAGAGTGGTGCTCTGTGAATCCCTTCCTGATTTTTGAATGATTATGAAGTTAATGACTAACAAAAGTTACACTAGTGTCTGGAATGGTCTTTTGTTTCCCTTAGTCCATTCACTGTCTCTCACACACTTCCCAGCTCCTCTTATGTAATGTTCCTTAAGTCTTAGAGGGGTGGTGTAAGTTACTTGTTTTATGTTCAGCTGATAATGGTTTTCATCTTGTGCAGCCATGAGTCTTCATTTACCACTGTTTATTGTAAGGAGAGGCTTCTCTGATTAAGACTAGGTCCATCTTAAGCTGCGAGTAAACACAGGTATTGAGATGGTAGCTTTCTCTTATGTAGTTTAGTTAACCACCAGAAATGCATTATTTATGTCAAGTTCTCATTTCATTAATACTCTATTGTAAATTCATTTTATGGTTATCTTTACAAGGTTTAATGAACATACGTGGGTTTGCAAAGAAATTATTAAACTAACTTACCAGAATTATTTTAAACATAAATAACCTCGAGACATTTAGACATATTTATTTTCCACTTTAAGTGACGATGATGCCTATACTCACTAGGTTATTAATGGTATTTTGCAATTATATACATTTAATTTCCTCTTCTTTTTCAACCAACTAGCATTCAGACTTGTGTCACTGAATGTCATATTTATCCTCTAATATTTTATTAATGGATGCAGTTATGATATATAAGTTGATTCTCAATTTTGCTTTTGACATGTGTCCTGTTAGGTGTTCCTTTATTTTTATTTTTTTATTTTTTGGTTTAATGAGACAGGGTTTCTCTGTATTGTTTTGGAGGCTGTCGGTCCAGCCTGGGCTCGAACTCACAGAGATCCACCTGCCTCTGCCTCCCGAATGCTGGGATTAAAGGCGGGTGCCACCACCGCCCGGCCTAGGTGTTCCTTTCTTGAAAGTGTCAGTTCCTTCTCTAAATAGTCATGTGTGAAGT